CAAAGACAGTGGGGACTCAGAGTTACATTTAAAGTTATCTTGGGAAAGAAAATGCATATATATATCAATAGCCACTTTTTTTCTTCAAAACTAAAATAATGACCTGGGTTGATTCTCTGCTCTCATTTACTTTTTCACCATGGGCTCAAGAAAACTTTTGGTTAAAATCAATAAGCTGTTATATGTATTCTATTAAGTGTAAAGTCTAAGATAATCTTCAAGCATGTTTACAGCACTCTCCTTCAAGAGCCTATACATATACACACACACACATACACATATTAGAATATATATATCTCTTTACAAAAGTGGAATTTCTTCCATTTTCATAAGAGGCAACGCCATTGCAGCTGTTTGTGTCAGAGGCTGAGTCAGACTGTGTAGCCATGCAACGGGAACCCATAGAACTTTTTGAACTATTTCTTTTATGTAACTTTTGACACTGGCCTTATTCCAAATTAAATGGTTACCTTACTAATTTAATAATATTATCCACTGATTTAATGAATAAAACAGTCAAATCAAGTGGAGAAAGTTAGCTGTGGTTAGTTTCTCTTGTGTCAGAACAGCAGTCCTAGCCATCCATGGCGGATGGCTGAAAGAATTACTAACTGGCCATGCTGAAACATGTCGGTGCTTGCTTGGAGAAGAGATATGAATCTGCCTAAACCACAGTTATAGATATAATTCTATTCCAATAATACAAACTAGGGGTATTACTGATAACATGGAATTCTAAATAGCAGTGGTTTTGTACAGGATGTGAAACTAAAACTTTGGTCCATCTCCTAGTAACTGCTTGGGAGCATGTCAAGGCAGAGTGGCTTTTACTACAGTTGATCTTAGTCAAAGGCAAGAAGCAATTAGAGTGGCTTTTAAAGGCTGAATATCTGCATAATGCCTTTCTTTTGTTCTAAATGAGTTAGAATACCTTTGTTAAAAAATCACGTACTCAGGCCTTGGAATTGGTTAGAGCCCTTTCTAAATAAGTGCATAAATCAGCAACCTAAAGTAAGTCTGTGCCCCTCCTTCTATGTAAAATCCTTATTTTGCTTTTTAAAGTTTGGCACAGGGACCCAGGGAGTTGAAGGGTGGCAGAATCTGCCACATCAAAATATACCACTTTGGCATAAGACTATTTTGAGCTGAAGGCAATTGAGAAAAAGAAGATACAAGAAAAGCTCCTCTTTCTCCCTCTATTATTTGCTTAAAAGTGGGACATAAATTTGTAAAGCCTTCCTCCCCCTCTATCAGGAAGGACAGAAGTTAATTACCAGAGACAACTCTAAACCCTTATCAGCCTGGAGATGTCACTGGAGGACTCTATGTAACAATTTTACTAACTAATCCTTATTTTCCATTAGTTCTTTCATAATATTTACCTTCCCACAATTTGCCCTAGAAACATGAAGTCCTTTTTCTTTGCCTTGTCACTTCTCTAAAAATTTATTGTTCTTTACGTAGGATACTATGTAAGCCCAACTTCTAACCAGCCCTTCGAATTACTTATCTCCGAGTGCTCCCATGTGTATGAGTGATGCACATGCTAATAAACTTCTGTTTTTCTCTTGCTAATCTGTATTTTGTCAGTCTAATTTATAGGGCCCCAGCGGAAGAACCTAGAAGGGTTGAGGGAAAATCATTTTTTCCTCCTCTGTAGAGTCTGCTAATTTCGTAGTAGGAATATATAAGTTCTGTAAAACCTGTAGAACCAAGAGCAAAGGGAGGCAGTAGCAAGCTGACCTCCTTCTCAAGCGTGGATGTGAGTGCTTAGAGTTTCATGTTGGAAGAGAAATGCAATTTTGCTTGGTGTGGGATGGACAGAAGGAGTAATTATAACACAATATGTAATTTTAAAAAACAATTTCTGGATAATTTTAAACTCAGGGTTACCTGATTCTCATGGCATGAAAGATACTTGAGGTAAATATAATTTCTACAGGTTCTGCCAGACTCTATTTTAATGTATATAACTGAAGTACTGTTGTAATAGGCTTGGCTCTTGGTGGGAGCAGGGTTCTGGTTCTGCACCATAACATTCCATGTTCTATGTCTTTTTATTTTCTTCTGTGCTTTTAAAGTTATTAGTCTAGGAGCCCAATAAATTTCTGAGACCACATGTTTATCTTTCATAAAGGGGAGTTGCAAGCCAACAGCAGAAGGGTCTAACTTTTTTCTTTTTAAAGTCACTCTATACCAGCTTCACTCATGACCAAGGACATGAAGCAATTAGTCATTTCTGCAGCATACCTTAAGCTTTGCAGGGTGTTTTAAGGTTATGTTGGCATCACATGAGTGCAATGAATAAACCTAATGACTTACTGATGAATATAAACACAAAAGAAGAATTCTGCTATGATGTGTGAAGGTCCTTGATGGATTTTAAAAAAGATTAAGTCTATATGACACGTACCAATTCCGAGGAATATAACTTTGTTATGGTCAATTAAAACCAACTATTACTCATTATGCTTAGGTATTTTTGGATAGGGGTTTATTTGCAGATGTTCCTAAAATTTCATTTTAGGAGTAAGCATCTGCTTAATAGTCAAATAATTTGACTCCTTGGATTAAATGCTTAATCAAGTCTTTTTCTGAGGGGAGGTGGAATTTATTTCAGTATAGTATCTCCTCGTTTTCCTCTACCTTCACATCTGATTCATCAACAATTTCTGTTAGCTTTGTCTCCAAAGTAATTCT